CCAACCACCCATCCACCCATCCATCCGTGCAGGGAGCAATCTCTGCGAGCCGACCGACCGACCGCAGGCAGAACACAAATCCAACGCATCGATGCCGACGCGGATTAATTTATGCCAACGGCAACGAAAGGAGCAAACAAAAAATGGCAACCTCTTGCCGGCTTATTGCAACATGCACTTGTGGTGGGGCTAACAAATTGTTGTATGTACGTTGCTTGGGCCACGGGGATCTAACACGCGACATTGATGAACTTCGGCCGCATACGTGCCCGCCCGTACGACTCCCAGTGGGGCTGGTTGCTTGCCAATCCTTTGCTGTACCCCCCCCACCTTTTGGATGGGACATTTGAAGATGTCTAATCACAGCTTCCGGCGACGACTCGGACACATTTGTTCTGCTCTATCAATTTATGGGCGCCTAAAGATTTGCTCCAATAGCATCTTACCCATAAACCAGACGGAGACAGGGACGGGACCGGCCCGGGTCCGGGCCAACAAGCAAAAGTCAGTGCAGGACTAACAAGCAAAAATGTTGCCAGGGGCCGGCCGGCAAGAAAATCGCAGCAGCAAATGGGAAAAACCTTTTGAGGATTTTACTTGAAAATTGCATGGCTCGCTGGGCAGAGAGAGATTCCCAAAGTCGATGCCGATGCCGATGGCGATGCAGAAAGCCGATGCCTTGCCAATGGCGCCGCCAAGTTGCCGCTCCTTCTGCTGCAGTTTTATCTTTGCAAAGGTTTTTATGCTTGCCACAAATTGCGAAAATTTCTTATGCGCCGCAGACGAATTTTGAATGCTCTTTCGTGTGCATTTAATACTCGTATGTGGTTGATTCTTCAGATATTCCTTTCAATTTTCAATTTCCTGAGATTTTCTGACTATTTTCGTAGGCATTTTTTCACAGCTAGGGTATAGCAGGAACAAGGAAAAATAAATGAGAACATGGTACTGCGGCAAATGCATTTGCTGTAACAGTCGAAGCTGCCCCCGGAAAGGCAGCATCCTGGGCAATGTGGCTGGGATATCCCTTTAAGCAGTTTGTTGGTTAGCGGAGAAGCATAAAATAGCTGCACCAGGTGGCCATTAGGGGGAACGGGGACAGAGGCGCCACCGCCTTGTAAACGGCCAAGATATTGTTTAGCCCGGGCACAGAACCCCAAGCGGGAGAGCCCCCAGCAGCCAATTGTGCGATTCTATAAAATAACGTAAGTAACAGGCAGTGGCAGCGGGGGGCAGTGGGTGGCGGCGACCAAAGGAAATGGCTTCATTTATTATTGAATATTATTTTATACGCTTGCTCACTCGCTCCGGCTCCATCTCTGGACTCGTCGTTCTGCCGGCGTAAAATCGAAAATCAATGGCCGGGATAAGGTTGAAATGGAATGGGTTGGGAGATGTGGATGTGGCCTGGCTGTCGGGCCATAACAATTCTGATGCTAATGGCCGCTACAGCCACACAATAGAGACAAGCCAAAGTGCAGGAAGTGGCCGCAGACAAATGGATATGGCGGCCAGAGTGCCGCAGATATCTCTCTGCCTTACCTAACTGTAAATGCGCTCCTCCGGGTCACCTGCGCCTCCTCCTTGATGTGGCGATGCGAGCGCTTCTGCTGCTGCTTCTCGCGATCGAAGTCTATCGATGCGACCCGCTCCAGAGCCTGATGGCAAATCACATCGCGATCGGACACGGACTTCATGTTGCGTATGACGTAGGTGCCGCCAAAGCGCGAATGCCTGCCCGTTGGTGGACGGGCCTGACGACGAGCCCGCTCTCGCCGTCGAGCGGCCAGCAGCTCCTGCTGATCGCGTTGCTTCTCGCCCAGACTGCGCTGCAGTGAAGCGTCGGCCAGCGATTCGGCGCTCTGCAATACATTCAAATTGGGATTAATTGGAATGGAAAGACGTTTAAGCCAGACAGACGTGAACTAACCTGTTCCCTGTACAGCAAGCAGAGGATCTCGAGGCCGTGCAGATGAAACTGTTCCTCATCTGGTGAGGAGATGACGAACAGCACCAGATCCAGCATGCCCGTTTGGTGCAGCGCCCAAATGACCTGGTCATGCAAACTGGCATCATTGTCCGCCCGACACTCGGCCTCCGGATTGGCCGGCACCTGCAGCACATTCCGCACCAGCACCAGGATACGTTCAATCAGCAAATTCTGCTCCTCGCTGCGTATGGCAAATCCCTGAAATTCAGTGGGAAAACGAAAAACGGAAGACATTAGAAGTCAGTGTAATAAAATGCTGCACTAAGTCCCAGTGTAAAAATCTAAGCACCAAATCCCGCGAGTCAACTTAAAATAATCAAATGAAATTAAATTAAATTAAATTGCAAATTTATGTAGCTCGACTGTGAAACGGAAGCCCCGACTCAAGGCAGAATAGCCCGGCGGCCCAACCAAGCGACGGGACCACAACAAAGTCAAGTTGAAATCAATTTGAGCTGGGTGTGGGCGATAAGGGAATGCCACGGTGGGTATGTCAGGGATGGGATGGAATGGGTAGGGTGATGCGGATGTGAGTGTGGGTGGGGGTGGGGGTGGAGGCAGAGGAGGACCAGGCCATTACAGTTGCTGCTGTGAGCTTAAAAATAAATACAACTAATGCGGCTTTTGTGCCTACAAGCCAGCTGCGACTCGACTCCTACCCGGATACGGATACGGACACGAACACGGACACGGACACAGACACCCTATCCAGATCGAGGCAAGGAAGGCAGCAAGCAGCCGGCAGAGGGACCCACCCAAGACCCCGAGCCTCCCATCTCAAAGCCAAAGTTAATAATGACTTCCGTTTTTGGTTTCCCTACGCAACAACAGCAACAGCAACAACACGGAGGTGGCTCATTCAAAACTGAAAGCTCGAAAGTCCTCCCTCCACCTACTCCTTCAAGTCCTTTCTATATCGCTCCCCGCACCCCGCTCAAGCGCCTTCTTTGGTCGGTCCACTTGGCTGCTCGCCGCGCATACATCAAAGCGTGTAAGTCGGCGCGACGCAAATAAAGAAGTAAAGCATAAAAAGTCAGCCAGCAAGAACAAGCCATAGGGACGGGGAGGAGGAGGAGGAGGGGCAGGCTACAGGGGTAACTGCCGCACAGCCAGAGGCAGCAGCGGAAAAATCCTCGCACACATTCATTATCAACGACAACAAATAGACAGCATCCATATAGAAATTCGCCTGTATTTAACCTAACAAAAAAGCAGAAAAGCAGAAAAGCGAAAAATAAAAGAAATAAAAGAGGGAAATGCTCCCTAAAAAAAAAAATGAAAATGCAAACAAAATCCTCGGGCGGCTCTTTGCTGGCAATGGCGATGGCAGCGCTGGAAACGAAGCCCCATGAAAATCCTTTGGAATTGCTCCCCGGAGTGTTATGAATGTCGATTCAATCGGCTTTAAATGAATTTATTTGTGTCGTTGCGCTAAACCGAGAAGGTTTGGGCTACCCCCGTTCGCTCCTTAACGATTTTCCATCTTGGAGGCTCAAGTTTTTATTGTTTAGGTTGCTAGGATACAGATACAGCCAGATAACTCTATGCCTTGCTGCATTATCTTTTTTGTTGGCTAAAAACATAGTTTGACCCAATTTTATATTTAAAGTTAATTTCTAATATCAACTTTATGGCAATCAACCCTAAGTTTCTCTTCCAATTGCGCACAAAAATCCAGAGATTATCTTTTTATTGTGAACTTCTAAGGAGTCTGCCTGAAGCGGATTTTTGGGCCTGGCCAACCATCATTTACCATTTGGACCAAATTTAGAATTTTAAACAGAATTACCAAGTACTACGCGTATATTTTGTTGTTATTTGTACACAAGATTAAGCAAGAAAACACTTAATATATGTAATTACCAAAATAAATAGCAAAAGAATACAAAACCCGTGCCATGGAAAGTCCAAAAACAAACTTTAAATTGCCTTTTAAAAGCAGCTTTTTCCTTTTTCTGGCAAACATAACCCACGTCGAAATGTCCATACTCTAAACATGAGCGAGACTAGTCTCTATTGAAATCTGTTCTCACTGAAGGTAAAGCTGTGATCACAGCTGGTAAAATTGCATCTCTTCACAAGCCCAGAGGCTACTACAGCTACTAAAGTAATCAGCAAGGGCATGTAAAGTCATGCACTACGAACCTATCCTGTGGTTCGATTTAAACACTATTTTTTGTAGCATTTACAAACTAACAAATAAAAGCATTGGTGTGGTACAGACACACCCACACAGATTGGCAATCATTGTTGCGGTGCTTTTGCTTTTGTGGCCAGCGACTAGACGTAGATCCACCATCGAATTAGATTCGGTTGATTCAACGCTGATGCCTGAGCCTATTATGGAATTGGTCTGTATTTTGTTTGTCAGGATGGAAGTGTTTGCACCCCACACTTGTCGTCGGTGTTTATTAAAATAGACTTGTTGCGGATTTTCCAGCGTTCTTGCTTGAAAAGAAAATTGAAATAAAAGGAACTTGCTGTTGATTTAATTTTGAGGGATATTTTTCAAATTAAACTTCATCTTTGGCTGCCCAACACATTGGCCGAGGCCACAGAGTGAGATTCCCACTTTAAGGATTCAACTTTGTTGCGGGAATAAAAGGGACTGAAGGATAGCTGAAACCGAGCAGATACATAAACTAGATATGAACTTCAAACTAGTTATGGACCCCACAAACGAGACGGACGAGAGCACAATCAAAAAGTCAGAGCGCACCAAAACAAAACTGAAACGGCAAAAGAGGGAACAAGTGAAAAGCATTTTCCATACCCCACCCCCCTCCCAACCAAACTTGACTGCTGGCAGCTGCAAGAGCCATTAAAAGTTTTTGCGTACCCGCTTGGCCATTAATGTAAAGATTATAGAGATTACAGAAATAGTTTCGCAAATGCCCGAACGATAATTGCGCGGCTTTGCCACAGGAGCCAGCCCATTTATATAGACTAATTAACGAAATCTTGGAACGCAGCAACGCAGCAACGGAGGAACGAAGGAAATTGGACATCTATTCACAAAGTTATTTAGCATCGTACGTATGTACATATGTATGTCTGGAGTAAATCTTGCAGAATGTTAATCAAATAATTTTTAATCGAAAAGCTGCTATTTGAGGTCTCGCGTGGAATTCAACAGGGCAAACAGAAACACCATGATGAAGAGAGTGATGCCCCGCTGGTGCCAGCTGTAGTCCACAAAGGTTCGCTGCACGGGAGGCTGTTCCTTTACTTGACGAAGCAGCTGCGGTGCCAGCGGCTTGGAGCGCGGCAACAGTCCCGGAGGCAGTTCGATCTCACCGTGCAGAAACATAGACGCCTGGGGCAGGTTTACCGGTGTCTCAATATACTCATTATCTTGGAGCATTTTCTGGCGATGCTCCTGCAGAGATTTGCACCTGCGGTAGGGTGCCGCCCCACGCTGTCTGTAGTTGGAAAAGGGCTGAACCGTGATCAGAGTTTTTTCGGCAATGCGCGACTTGCAGTAGGGACACTTGACGATGGGTCCCTGCGCCTGCATCCAGGCTTCAATGCACCGCGAGCAGAAAAGGTGCCCGCAAAAGCTTACACGGGGGCAGACCGCCGTGCACATGCACACCACGCACGTGTAGTAGCCGTGTGTGGACTCATCGCCGTCGCTGTCATCGCTACTGTACCCTCTGTTGACCCCTTGCTCATCGAAAATTAGTGCCATTTCGAACTGGTTGGTGTTCAATCGGCTTTGCTGTACGACAGTTGTAGTACTCACTATTTCCAGGGCCTGCTTGAGCTTATCAAACAGAGCTGACCAGATTTTGTCCTTGGCAAACGCCGACTTGTAGCCCTGCAGGATGTCGATCAGCTCCATGAACACCTTGCGTCCGTGGTTGTCGTTGGGGGGTCCCTCGCGATACAGCAGCAGCGTGGGATTGGTCAGAATGACCAGCAGGCGAATCAACAGGTCCGACAGCTCCTCGTGTTGGACGTAGTCGGGCAGCATATAGACCAAATCCGTTTCCAGCACCTTGGCGCGTCCCAGATGGCGGCGGTACTCATGGTTGTCCAGATCACGTCTCAGGATCCAAATCAAATGCTAAGAAAGTTTGATAAACATACAAATAAATACAAGCTGATCAACAGGCGCATCTGGGCCCTTCTTGTTTTACCTTCAAGCCCTCTGCTGCATCCGGCTCGGCCTGGTAGCGCTGTCCATCGCTGTATCCAAGCGCCGCGCATGTGGCGTCAATGTCCGCCAGCAGCACAGACATTTCAAATACAATACACAAACGTTTAGTTTATTTAATAAATAAACGCAAATAAATTTTGTTTTGATCCAAAACTGCGAAATGCGCGCGAATATATCGATGTTCTCAATCGATATATCGTTTCAAACAGCTGTTCGATGCTGATCAGTGAAAACGGTAGCCCCTTTACAACACTGCAACGCGCGCAACTTAGAAATTTTAAAATTTTATATTAAAAAAAGGAGATTATCACGAATGCGAGTTATAATACAAACACCAAAAAAAAAGTTGCTTTTCTTTTGGGCGATTCTCGACCACAAGATCATTCCGTGCCACCCTAACACCAATTTGTATGTCACATTTATGAAATGATTATACATACCGACTCTGTGTTGAAGTTGCCCAGCACAGCGTACATACTCACAAAAATATATACATATGTTAAATAACGTTTGCTTACCCATTCTTGCTCCCCAAAAGCATGCAATCCTGATGGAAAAGGTTCACATAACCAAACGAGCACATACATTCACTCGATTCCATTTAAAATCGATTTAAATCGAAATTATTTGCTTGCATAAGTTGCCCACACCCACAGCATCGCATCCCATACACATGAAAAGAGAGAAAGCTCCAAAGAACACAAATGCAGACGCCACCCACTGGTGTGTTGGTATTGTCACCTTGTGGCAAATTTAAATCCGTTCACCATTCTCATGAGTCGGTGGAGCAGCAAATTGCTGGAGCTCTGCCAAGATGGTCAAGATGCACTGCAGCATGTGCATCTGCACTAATCATCCGAAGACATTAAAAACCAAAGGCGGGCGGCAGGGCCAAATTAAAAGCAAACATCGAGGCGGCCGCCCCAGTTATTTACTTATGATATGTGCAAATACGCTGGGCAAACTTTTGCCACCAGCTCCGGGAGAGGAAGACGAGCAGCAGGGAGCAGCAGGGAGTAGGACTATGCCACCTGCTCAACTCTCTGTCAAGGAGCTCGCCTGGCAGCACTAAACTTGCTCCCTTGCCGCTCCCCATGCTGCCCCAGTCAAGTCCCTCAACTGAAGAAGTTGAATTTAATTAACTAAGTAAATGCCCAGACATGAGCCGAGCCCGGGCTGCATATTTATCAACGTTCTCGGCTCCGACTTATTCTCAGCACGATGATGCTGATGGAGATGCTGCTGATGAACAACTACTACTGCTAACTACAACAACTTGCTGACCAAATAAGCAAAGCACGTCAAAAGTGCCCAAGAAGCCCCAAACGTCGCCAGCTACAAGCTCCTGGGACAGGGCGAAAGGGCGTGAGAGAGGGAGGGGAGGGACACTGACTAAGACTGAAGGAAAGGACACTATGCAAACCTGATTATAATGTGTCAAATCCATTATGTGCTGTCAGGCTTTTAGGCACAAAAAGCTACCTCCCTCCGCTTTGGGGTCACTGAATGAAATATCACAAGTTTTGAGGAAACTTTAGCCAGACAAAGTTAATTATAATTTTGTGCCTGAGTTAAGCCGTACGTGGGCCCCGGGCCAGGGCCCAATTAAATGCATAACCAGCAGTGCACACACAATCGATAGGCATTAGGTTGCTATCTGTTGGACAAACGGGTTTTAATTTAACTATGGGTTTTAGGAACTATGGCCTATGGTGCAGCTTTGTCGTCGATATAGTTGCGTTGATTCTTCAGAAAAACTCCATTGAGTAGGAAATCGAAGGGATACTCTGGGCGATGCTCATAGCGCTCGGGAATCGCTGGATGCTTCTGATACACCCAGAAGCAACAGTAGTTATCCACCATTTTTCCTTGAAATGAGACATTCTGTTGATCGATTAACATTCTTTGTCGAGTCCGTCCTGCAGTTCTCTGCATCCTTATAGGGCCCGGCAAGTATTGGCGTGCCGTCGGTATTTCCACAGGCCTCTGAAAGCCATCGAAGCTCCCCGTTGTGCCAGTGGTTTGTAGGAACTGCCAGAGCAGCAGTTGAACTGTAAATGGTAGTTGGGTTTAGCAAGAGAGGAGTAGCAGGGGAAGATAAATAGCGTCTTTACTCACCCACTAATATCAGCAATCGATGCATACTGACGGACTGCCAAATACTGAACTTGGGCTTTCTAGCTTATGGAAAAATATGAAAAAATATCAGCGTGAAATTAGAATTAGTTTCTTTGACACACTCATTTAATAATTATATAAAATTGTATTCGTATAACTAATCGAAAGAGGTGCTTTAATATAATACAAAATACAGAATCGGCAATACAAAAATGATCTAAATAACATTTTGAATGGTTTATGCAAATTAAATGGTGCCCCAAATGCAACAATAGGTCCACGATCGAGGCTGCCATCTGGCACTGCTCGTTAGTGGCTCCAATTTGGCCCTTGGTAAGCCATTGTAAGTGCTCGGCCGGGCTCAGCAAACATACGGAGTCCAACCAGTCGCCGCAATATAGGACAAAACACCAGCACCAGCAGAGCGCACAGATGCCTAGCTGGAGCCGAAAGGCAACTAAAAGTGCAGCGAAATAACAGCATCTGACAGATGTCAGCTGCCATGTTGACTTTGCAGCTTGTGGCCGCCATTTTGCCAACATTTGGGCCACCAACCCGGACCCGGACCCGGACCCGGACTCGGACCCGTACCGGCTGGGACGGTCCCTTCCTGACAGGTGCTGGCTGCCTCGCCGAATTCAATTGTTTGCAGAGCCTTCATCTTGCATTCTGATTGCGTGGCTTAATTGCATAGCAGCCGCGAACTGGGCCAGATTTGGTTTTGTGTTTACCCAAAAGGTGTGCAGCGCGAAAGCGAAAGCTGAGTGCACTTCTATGGAGCCCATTACTGCCAGGCCCGGCCCGGCCCGGCCCGGACCGGCTAGAAGCTCAACCAAATGTGGCCCGCCCTCTCAGTGTGGCTTCCCATTCAAGCTCAGAACATCAGAACAAACCGAGAAAAGAAACCCGAACAAAGCATGGAAAACAATTTAAAAACAAATAAGACTCACACCTGAGACCTTTACCTACCTCCCTTCCTCCCGGAGCTGTGGCCCGCAAGTGTTCTGGTCAGCTGGCTTGGGTCTCACAGCGGTTGCCGGTTGCCCCAGGCGAAAATGAATTGTTGTAAATCAATTTGTACCAGACCCGGCAACAACAATACACCAATTACATGGGCATTTTTCAATCCGAAATGGTGCAAAAAAAAAGGCACCGAGCACTTTCACAGACTACAAAACTCGCTGATGGCCTACGATTTGTTCGCCAAATATACATAGAAACCAGAAAAAAAAAACAAAAAATACCTACTAAAAAAACAAGAAAATTCATCTATAATGGTTTAGCATTGTTTTCATTTTGTGGGGAATTAAAAAAGCGCAATTTGAAGTTGCCAACACTTGCCAAACTGAAAGCAAATAAATCCAATCGTTGGAGTTTTTACCGTGCGAGATGCGAGTGAATAAATATTCTACTAATTGCATTCATCGATCAATCAATTTAACTTATTTAATAAGTTTGTTCATTTAACTCAGTCAAACATGAAAATATACCTGCATTTTCCTTTAAATATTTACACACTGAAGATGGTTTCAAACTCTAATTTAATTATAAAAGGCTACATATGAAAAAAGCATTTTAAATTTCTTATATTGGTGGCGTACATTGGCGTTTTAAAATATTTTACAATAGTTTTTGTTGTGGGTTTGCCAAAGAAAAAACAAAAACTCAACCCCCTAAGCACATAGAAAATGTTGCATCTTCATAAACTTGGCCAAGGGACGCATTGGTCTACGAATGAAATCTAGTCTAAGCATTCATCTAATAAATAATCCCTGAACTTTGTCACATTCGAATCGGGTTCGAATCGCACAGTAATCCCAAGAAAAAAGCACCCATATAACTCCTAATTTTGTCTTGACAACAAATATACCTTGCCGCAAGTGCAGGGCAATAGTCATAGTCGTTGCAGCCACCACCAATGAGTGTCGCAAGATGAAAGCGAAAGCCCGGCCAGCACCAGCTTCCCCACGACTACTATATAGCCCAGCCTTCTCGTCTAGCAATGTCCCATTCCGGTTGGAAACAAATCAAAGGGAAATTGTAAACGACAAGTTAATCTCACTTGAAGTATAACCGGAAGCCATTTTATGACCCAATGGTCAATAGGGGGGGAGATCTCTCCATTCCCATTTCCACAGCACATTCACAGATGGGGCAACAAATAAAAAGAGATGTTTTGGGCTGCTGCATCCTTCGAGCCGGGCCACATTTGCACAAAGTAGAACTTAAATAAAACAATTTATTCTGCACATTTTGCTGGCTACTGCAAAATGAATTAAAGTTCAATAAAATGCCGAAAACAAAAAAAAAGCCAACAGCGCACGAAAAAGCTGCAAAAAAAAAAGGAAAAGTTTTCTTTTTGCTTGGTTGCGGCTTGTAAGCGTCTTTATCTACGTTCGGCCTTTGTTTCTTGGGATTTCCTTTTGTTGTTGGCAAAGTTGTTGCTGTTGCTGTTGCTG